ATACGATATTACACTCACCATGTCATGAGTCTTTATATTTGGCAATGTTTTGCCTCGTGACATGACCAAAAATCCAGTAATATTCAACATATCTGCATGTCTTCGCACATTTTGGAAAATTTTCAAAACCAAGATGGCAGCTCAGCTTTTTTGGGTAGGCCTGGTCGCTAAGGTTTGAGCGCTTTTCGCCAAAAATACTCGATTTTGTAAAAAATCTCCTCTTATTTATTTTACTATACTCGACTATTTTGACAATTTTAAAAAACTTCTGTTTGGCCAATTAAATTTTTCAAATTACGTAAATGCGCTTATTGATAATAAAAATCTTTTGGTTCAACATATTTCTAATTGTCAAAATATTAATTGAGTATACTAAAAGAAATCATTACCTGAAATAAAATTTGGGGTAACCTATGTCGTTTTCGAGTTAAATTACTTTAAAGTAATATTTCTGCCTTCTTGAAACGTTATTGTTGCCATGTAGCAACGCCAGTTGTTGATAACTGGAGTTGACATGTCAGTTTTATGTCACACGGTCATGAAGTTCAAATTGTTTATGGCTTCTAGTTTTTTGGTTCGTTAGAAAGCGTTTATTTCGAAAACGTGTGTAATAGTTTAATTGTACAAGCTAAACAAATAACTGTATTGGTATGAGAGATTGGATTTTGTGTTTATCTACACTTATTCATATTTCTTGTATTTAGATACCTGTGGGAACCCATGGGTAACGTACATTTCGCAGGAGAAGCCTTATCATTTGCCGCTGGTTGGATTCAAGGTGCCTTGGAGAGTGGCCTCAAAGCCGCATATCAAGTTTATGCACGTTACAAGAAGAGAACATCCGGAAAAGGGAAATAATTGATATCAAATAATTTTAATATTATTGCAATTGCACAATATATCTACGTTGGCGGCCTTCACATATTGGCATTTGTTGGAATTGAATAACTTCCAAAAATTTATAAGTATTTTTTTAGATCATGCATGGTTATGCATGATTACGTTTTAGGATTTGTACTTGAGCTGTATTTCGATGTTTAATTTCTGATTAAATCGTTGAATAGTTCCTATTTTGTTTTTCCTATTGTATCGAAATAGCTTGAAAATATTCAAAATAGCGCATGTTCTGTGGGGTAAATACCTCTCGTAAGAGCACTGGCTAGGAACATGCATGACGAGTGCATTTTAATGATGAATCATTGCGAATCGTGGCGTGGCAGCAGTCACGCTTTCTTGGCTGAGGCGGCCTTCTGTAAAGTCTCGATACCGTGATAACACTCTCCCCAAATCAGTGATAACTCGTCCTGTTTACATGTAACGTATGTAATTGAATAAGCACGTGTAAAGTAGTGCATTTCAAGATTTCGCCATAAACTAAATGAACAGAAATGTGGCGTCAGCAGTAATTTTCAAATGCCAAAATTCGAATCGTACACGCTAAATCGCAGCCTGTACACCCACCTTTCTGACTCACTTGAAATCCTCCGCAATAATAATCATAACTTGCGGAAAAATCGCTGGGAAAGAGGTTGACCTGGATGCGCATATACAATCTCGTACCCAGAGCATGCCCCTTGTCAAGTGTGCGTGTGTCTGTCAGCACGTTACCTTAAAATTTCAAACATATACTAGACAATACATGCATGCATGCAGAAACCCTCGCCTTGCTGAAAAAACCATTGTATTTTCCGAACATGAAGTACTTGAAGCAGCTGTCACGGTAACACGATAATTTTATTGAGAATATTTTTACAATTGAAATAGTTTCTAAAAATATCTCAATTAATTACAAAATTATTAACTTCCCATGCATATATATGTTAGTTATGTTATTATACATAACTTTTAAGCTCCAATATAATGTGAAATTTAACCACAAACGCTTTGCAAAACGTTTTAAAATGTTCTTTATAAAACTAAACTGCCTTTATTGATAAACTTTGAGTTTGAATTAATTAAACTATTTCAAATCCTCGCATGCGAATAACTTTGCTATCTTCTTTATTTAAAAAAACTTTAATATAATAAAACAGGGTAATCATGCAATAAAGATACACTGAAATTATATGCTGTTTTTTTTATTTAAAATATACGAAACGATCAGCTTTTAATAAAGCAATTATAAAGTAAACAACAGACATCAATATTTAAAACAAACTCACCTTCACAACGCTATAAGTTGGCGCATTTGCTCCCTTCTTTTAGCAACGCTTTCCACCTATTTCTCAAGAAGCTTTTTAAATTTACAAAATCTTGCAAAAATGAAACATATTTGCAAGAAATCGTCAAATCAAGAAATGTTTGCTCTTTCTCTGTCACCATGCAGTCGTTATAATGCAAATTTTAAATTTGACCAATCAGTGTTCGCTATTCATGACAGTCGGCCATACTTTTGAGATCAGTGAGGATGACTACTCACGCACAGTAATCATAACTTGGCTAATGCTTTCCTTTCCTCTCCTTGGAGGTGAATAAATGGGGGCCGAATTAGTACTTTCGCCCAGGCTTACGCCCGGAACGCCGCTCGGTGCCGGTGGCTCGATCGGGGATTAATGTGGGACTAATGGACATATCCCAAGAACAAAATGATTAAATTTTAGTTGAATGTGGACGAGGATAAGAAATTACCAAAACCTTGCGTTGCTTCCATTGTATAATCTATAATTTAGAGAGAAGTTAGAAAGTATTCCCAAATTAGAGGCACAGTTCAGCCTTTCGAATGATGGGCTTTAAGGCACATTACAGCACTTTAACTTGAAAACCTAACTAGGGGAATCAATTAAGCATAATTCAAGATCAGTGATCTCAATGCTTTTAACATATTTTTAACATTCTTGTTGTTAGCAAAATATCAGATCGACAGAAACATGCATGCTGAGTTGAAATGGAAACAGGTCCCTACAGACAATATACTATATACCATATATTGTGTATGTTAAAATCCGTTCTGAAATATAATTTTTTTTTCCGGTCCGTAACGTAAATGAACCATTCTGATTGGTTGACGAGAGGTCCGTATCACACGATACAGAACTCTCGCACACGTTACGGACCTCTCACGTTTCGCGCCAAAACAAAGCAAGAAGTGAAGACATTTTTCAAACTCAAAAACAATCCAAAAGTTGAAAAGCCCTCCCTATCAATACAAAAGATAGAAAAATAAGCTGAACTAACTTCAATGGATTTAGTTTCAAGCACGAAATTTACTTTTTCTCTACCTAAATGTGAAAAGCAAGTAATTTTTTGACGTATATAAAGTATCGAAAAATAAGTGCCAAATGTTTAAACAGTACAGTTTAGTTTCAAAATAAAAGTTAAAGTTTTACTCCCGGAAAAACAACACGCCCAATCGTCAATACAATCGTATGAATTAAATTCAGATGTGAAAGCGAGTTACACGTAAACTAGCGTTCCAGTTATATTTAGTTTGAAGTTCTTCGGTCAGTGACAGCAGGAAGTCAATATTAATTCAGTTCAGAATTTTCGGAAAAAAGATTTTTAAAAAAGGAAGTCAAAAGGATTTGTAAGTTTGTCGTGTCGGTTGCATTACCAGGATGATTTTCAGATACGAAAATGAAATATACTACAACAATTCATTAGTTTGTATTCGCTGCAAGGGTAAAGTTGTTTTGTTTTTTTTTGTTTTTGAAATGAAGCACAGCATTTGTTTGCTATTCACTCAACGTTCAGGATAGCCGACATTGCCTTTTTTAACTATATATCTGGGGGGGGGGGCAATTTCCCCCCCCAGGGAAAAAATTCCCCCCCCCCCCCAGTAAAGCCATTTCTGCCCCCGAAGTGCGAAGCAGAATTGCTCATGCATGATTGCGGTCAGAATTGCAGTTGATTTACTTGATAATGAGATTATGCCCTTCCATAGCCTCCTCTACAGCCATCTTGTGTGTAATTCATGTTGTTCTTCACAGAGTATTTCATTATAGCGATAGATTTCATGCAAACAATCTGATAAAATGCTAGACTTTCCAAGCCTTGCGATTATTTCCTAGCACTTTTCTTCGCAGAGGCGTTGTGTGTTGTTTTGGGAGGTTTTATTGCAATTTTTTTCTTAAAAATATCAAGTTATATTAAGAACCCCCCAATCGACACAAAAACCATTCTCTCAGAAAGGCTAAATCCGTAGAGAAATTGAGGGGGGAGGGGGGTACACGTTACATGCTCGAAGCTGAAACTGATTAAGTACGTCTCGACTGAGGAAAAAGACGATATACTGGAGGAACTTGATTTGTAAAATCTCGTTAAAGCAGTCGTAGATATGGTTCCAAGAAGAATAGATTTAGTTTAAATTTTTAACTGTTATGTATGCATCATCATAGCATGAATATTTCTTCCGTCAGACTTATTCTGTATCGTATGAAAAAGCAACTCAATTTTGAGAATGCGGAAAATGGTGTCTCATAGAACCTAAATTATTTAAATGCTACATTTCTGATCAAAATCACATTGGGACTTTCTCAAAATCACATTGGAACTTTTTTTCAAGGTGACTTTTCCAATTTATTTAATTCCGAGTAGAAATGTCTGGAAAAAATCATGTCTTCGATGTACTTTATCATCTTCGGAATTCTGCTAGATTTCACCTTCAAAATGCTTGAAATCGCAATTCAGGGACCCTAGATTTCAAAATTTTCCCGGGGGTGCATGCTCCCGTTATAGCTGTACGATTATAGCTACAAAGGATTGGAGTTATTGTTCAAAGTAAAATATAGGTGAAGTTAATAAATTAAAGTTTTACAAAATGTCTCTTCAGACTCGCGCGTTAGCCAAACCTTGACGGTTCATATTTTTCGTTCTGCCTTTCTTCCTGTTCCCCCCCCCCCCCAGTGAAAATTCCTTAAAAAAGGCACTGATGGCCGCGGCACAATCAAGTCAGCAATTCGATCTTCGTACTTACGATTATGATCCTTCATGTCGGTTACCTTCCAATCGAGAGTTGAGAAATTGTGTCATAGCTAAAGGCCCTTGTCAACCAAAAGATCTGACGTTTCCGAAGAATAGCAGTGGTAGAAAATTCCTTCCAGCTTGGTATAAAAAATTTGGATGGATCGAATACTCTAGAAAGACAGACGAAGCTTTTGCTTCTATTGCGCTTGTTCTTATATATACTGTTAAATTGTTATTCAATAAAACCCATAATCCTACTTTTTTTTCAAAATTTCCCTCAAATGCAGGAAATGCCGTTTCAGAGAGTAAAAATTCAATTTGTACCGGAACTTCAGTGATTTTGCCCCCTCAAAATAAAATCCTGGCTGCGCCACTGTATATATATATATATATATATTTATATATATATATATATATATATATATATATATATATATATATATATATATATATATATATATATATATATATATATATATACATATACATAAAATGAAATAATATTAACATAAAAATGAGTAGAAACGTGAATTAATTATAAATTACAGGTCAAAGTGCACCCATACGCGTGAGTTTGACGTCATCCTGGCTAAAGGAGCTCCTCATTGGCCAAGTATTACGCAATACACCCGATACCTTGAAAAATTCAAAATAAATATTTCTACTCGCCGTATTCATACGAAACTTAGTACACGAAAGCGCTTCAACATAAAGAGTATTTTACACATATATCCTTTCAGAAAATGACGCCAAATTTTAGAATATATTCAACTTTTTCTCATTTTCTCGTTTGAATGTTTGGCGAAGCGGTAAGTATAAATATATGATTGTTTTGGTTTGTGTAATGTTTTGTCGGCATTTGACCCCCCGTTCGAAAGGTTATATTGTGAGGATTTCAATGGTGGCATTTATTTAAAGGGGGGGTGAATACTCGCCGAGATATTTATATTTGAAAAATTGATCGAAATGTAATGCGAAACCGGCCTGTCGAGAAAAGGCTCTCCCTTTTGACAGGGTATGCATGGATTCCAGCCGTCAAGGTTCTCGGTAGTTGCCAATACTCGACGGCTGAAATCCGAGCTATTTAACTAAATCGATTATAATAAGTGACGTGTTGTTATTGTTTTCTACTTT